GAATTCAACCACCAACCACCTTCTTTAAGGCTATAAATAGAGCCTTATGTTTTACACAGAAAGATCAATCCAGAGAGATTGAAATACAATCCAGGAAGAGATTGTGAGAACAAAAAGAGAGTTTGGTGAGATTTTTTGTAGAGAGAAATTCTTGGTGTAAATTCTCTATAATTCTATTCTTGTGAAATAGAGTTGTTTTTCCTCCCAAATAATCTTCATATTGATCCGAGAATCACAACATTTTACTCCCTAATGAACTTGCCCAAATAATAAAAATTTGTCCTTCATAAACCTACATAGCAAAGAAACTATATAATTAAATAGCTAAGGTCATTTCAATAGAGTAATTCATGGATTCTTCTCTTTTTTAATCACTCGGCGAACCTTGTTGCTAGAGAGTTGACTATTCAAGTCGTCATCTGCTATTACTGTTGGTGCCTTATTGGCAGATCTACTCCTCTTGTCATACTTCTTCAATTGAGATAGTTTTGCATTGCAATCATCACCATCTTCTAACACGGACGATCCACTTTCTGATATATTTTTCTTGATGGGAGTTTGTAAAATAGATTTTATCTTACTTTCGGCCACAAAATTCTACAGAAATAGAAAGAATCTATAAAGAGGAGCTGGAGAGCGATACTACCTTTGGTTGCATAATGATTAGTAATACCTTTTTACTAAATAATTAATAATGTTATAACTGTTTTAATTTCATGAAATTACCCCATAAACCTTCTCTTCACCTGAGATTTGTCCCTCAGGTATTTCCAAAGGATCCTGTTAAAAAGTAAAACAAAACAAAATAAACAATCATGTTATGAAGGTTGTAGGATTTATATTTATTCTTTTTCATAAATGTATCAGTAGCTTAATTTGTGAATGAAGATATTTTACTGTGATAGTGTCTTCAAATGAGCTGTGGGCATATTCCTTTAGAAGATCGTCATCATTAGTAACCTTAACAACTTGGTAGACTTCGTCTTGTGACTCAATATTGGTTTGCTTAACAATAACCTTAAACATGAATTTTTTATCAAGAATATCGTCCAATTCACCTGGATAAGAATAATCAGCATCTGCATCAGAAGTCTACACCAAATTTCATAGATCAAAAATATTATAATTGACAACTACACTTAAATTAAGTTTATTATTATACCTCAACTAATCCTTCCTTCAATTCTTTCGCGGACTTTCCTATAAGTTGTTGAGCTTCGCGATTCCAAAGCAATAATGAGATAAAGGTAGTTCTATCCATAACACGAACTTGAAGCCGATACCTGCAATTAAATTTTGATTAACCTTATGTATTTCCTTTTTATGTGTTTTAAATCTATATAATAGAATAATTACCTGTGACCAACAGAACAATCTTCTTCATTGCATTTCTTACAAAGAAATTTATTTCCAACTTTTTCAACCTTTCTAGTACACTTGTTGCATCCCAAATATGACCATCCTCGTTGAAGTTTCAAATTCACCAACTTTGCAGCAATCCAGTAGTTACACTCCTATTTAACACAAAAATAGCGTAGTAAATGCAAAACATAAAACAAAAGGTAAGTAAATTTTTAAAACCATATTTAACTCACTTGTGTGCACTGAACTAAATTCCCAATAGTTTTAACTAATACAATTCTTTTGGCTAACTCATCTCTAATAGAGTAACTTTGCTGAGAACTTGTCTGAGTAAGCGACTCATAGTTTGATTGGAGCGCTGCATCTAATCTGCATAAGTCAAAAACTTTAAGTTTTAAATAATAATATTATATTTATAGTATATATAAATAAGAATTATACCCTTTGCAAACCTGGATTTAAAATCGATAAATTGCGGAAAAGTAGGATTTATCCATATTTTTGAAGCATACCAACAGCTACGCACTGAGTAATTACCTATGAATAAAATTTAAAAATTACAAATTGAAAACTATAAATTATTTTGAAACTGTTTATCAAATATAAATGTAACTATTGGAAAACCTTGATATTTTTGAGCTTTCATAAGTTGAAGAACAACAATCAAAGGATTAGCAGTAGATGCATTCAAGTGAGGTTGAATTTGATCCACAAGTTCACTCCATAAAGTTGCTGAAATCCTGTTCCTCCTATATGTTTCACGGAAAAACCTCCATAAAAAAATCTTTTTTTACTGCAAAGTATAGTTTCTATTTGTGAATGACTTACTTATCATCTTCAAGTTCAATATTCATAAAGACACTTTTGTTGTCTCCTTGCTTGTAGGTCTGAACAGCTTCATAGGTCACAACCTGAGCAACGCCATCTATAAATATAAAAGTTAATCACAAAATTTTAATAAACGTAGATTAAATGAAAAAGAAGAATTACCGAATAATTCTGCCTCATCGACATCATGTTGATTCGTGAATTGATAAAAAGGACGCAAGTTAAAGATATCCATATGAAATGTAGGATCATTAGTTTCCTCAACTATTCTCATCTGCGTAAATGTCAGCCTCAAATTGTGTGTTGTAGTCTTTAATTTCAAATTATTTGGCCCGACAACAAAGTAGGTCATGCGATATAAGCCGAGTTCCTGTATCTTATTCTTAAAGAACTTTATAACATACTTCCCGATTGAGGCATGTATACGATCACCCTAGAAAATCATATTAATTGTTAGAATGTATTAGATTGGTAAAAATTGTTAATGCTGGAAATTAGTAAACAATTGTGAACAAACATTGTAAAGTTTTTTGTCTGAATGTGCATATTTTTAGAATTTGCAGTAGCTATAGAGATTATACAATTGTCAACAAACATTGTAACTTCCATTGGCAGAATATATGCATATTGTTATATTTTGTAGCAGTTTCAAGAGGAACATCATATTTTGTTTATCACATGGATTATATAAAATGTAATATATTGTTAATATTATATTATGTTTTTGCTGGAAAGAAGTAAATAATTATCAATCAGATGTTCACACATAATCACTTCAAGTTGGTAGTTTCATTTTTTTGAGGATTATTGGAAACTAATAAACGATTGCATATTAGAAAATCTATGAACCATAGCAGCAGAGAAGACGAAGAAAAAAGTGAAAGCAATTATAAATATGTTACCTTTGCATCTTGTAATACCAACTCTATCGAATAAGGTATTTCAGACTTGTAGCGATCCGGGATTTTCCACATTCGAACTACTCTAACTTTCAAATTCTATTGCATGGAGTTGCTTGAAATTTGTCTGATGTCATGAAGTTTTGTAGCCATATTTGCAAAGTTCGTATTCTGACCAAAGCAAAAAGAGAATGGAAAAGGAATTAAAAGGAGTCACATAAAACTGTTGATATAGTTATGGAGAAAGTGGATAAGTTGTGGAGTAATGGTGAGATACCCACGTTTGGGAAGATGATCGTAGTTATTTAAAAAAAATATTCCGTCCGGTTTATTTTTGAAATCTATTTATATTGCACATTATCCGATTCCAAACGTGGGAGTAACTCCAGACGTGATTGAAGTAATTTTTTGTTTAATTTACAGGTTTAAAAAATTAAAATAAGTAGACCAACAAACGTGGGAGTCAAAGTATAGATGTATACTAAATTGGGAATTTTAAAGTCTATAAACTTCTGTAAACCAATTAAAGAAGTTCTAAACATTTTGAACTTCTTTTAACAAATTTAAAAAACCGCAACTGCATTAGCATATTGAAATATTTATGTGAAATAATTTTAAATTATTTTTGAACTTCCAAATTAATTGGAAGTTTGTCCAAAAATTAGACACATGTTTAATTTATGTATTGACACTTGGCACAATAATATGGTTTTGCTTCTCCTATTCTAAATAGATAGATATGGTAAAATATATTCGTTTCCACTCAAATTTACAAGTGATGTAAAACAATAAAAGGAGAAAGAAAAGTATTGCAAAGTAAAGAGAACTCTTATTGATTTTGAATAATTTACAATAGAATTTTATTTTAATTAAAGTCAAACACCCAGGTTCTAAGCTCCTGGAGTGTAATTTACAATGGAATAGAATCTCTTTATTTATATGGAAAAAATGACTTAGTCATAAAGTTAAAAACCCTAAAATATAAACATTCATACTAACTACAATTCTATTTATAACATTCTCCCTTGAATATCTATTCAACAGATAACGTGTCTCATTAAAACCTTAACTAAAATAAAACCCAGTGAGAACAAAATTCTAGAGAACGAAAAAGAGCACACATGTTTAGAAATACACCTTTTGGTTGCCTCGTTAAAAACCTTACAAGGAAAACCCCGTGGGACAAAATCTCATAAGGTGAAAAGAGTACAACGCGTATTAACTCCCCCTGATGAGAGCATCAATTCACATTTTTGAGCTGTCGCATCCCAATCTTGCACACTAGCTTCTAGAAGGTTAACGTACAAATCAGCCATATTAACTTGAATGAATATGTTGCACCTTAAATCATCATTCTTGATAGATATGTAATGTCTTCATATAATGTCGTGGAATGGCCTTTTCCATATCCCCATAGAGGTAAAATTTTTTGCTATCACATTATTATGCTTATAATTATGGCAAGATACATATGCACAATTGTATTTAGGATGTGATACTTCAGGATCAGGAATTGTAGGTGCTTTAAGCGATTTAAATCCATCAAGGATTGTCATATAAGTTAAGTCTCATATAAGCCATATAAATAGACTTTAGATGCATATCAAGTTTTCATGTCATGCTAGACATATAAGATAGATAAAAGTCATTGCACACACCATTTGCTTTATACTTTCAAGTGTTTGAACTACAGGTCCAAAACTACATGTTTTTCATATGAAACCAATTCTGCTTGAATTGTTTATCCAGACTTAATATGCTTATATATATATTTTGCATTATAATAGATGTAATCCACGAACATTTTATATCGGTTCCTAACTCCTTTCTTTCATAAAGACATAACATAGAGATCTCTTCATTCATATTTTTAGGTACCTGAACCTCTCCTGAAATTTTATGAAGTGTTATGTCATGTTATCTTCTAGATCACTTGCCTTCTTATTATGATCATTTTGATTATTTGCTCATCTTTTTTATCAAGAATTTTATTTGAAACCAATTTGTCGATATGTTTTAAGTGTATCGTAGACTTTGTCCTTGTCACGACCCAAATCTCACTTCGTAAGACGTTGTGACAACACCTAGTCTCTACGACTAGGTAAGCCTAACAAATTGCGGAATAAAAAAAATAAAAATAGAATTCAACAACTAGACTACAACAGATAACTATAATATGATAAAAATACCGCTCGGCATGTACAAGTAACCCAGCACTCGAGTATACATAGTATTCCCAAAACCTGATAATCATAAGTCACAAGCTATAGAAGAAAAACTAAGTATCTCTATACACCAGAATCTAAGAAAGTACGGAAAGGTAAACGACATAAGAGGGAATACAGGGGGACTCTGAGGTCTGCGGATGCGGACAGATATACATTGAAGTCTCCACAATCTCGCTGCTCATTGATATCAAGAATGATAAGAAGTACTTGGATTTGCACATAAAATATGTGTAGAAGAGTAGCATGAGTACAGCACAACGGTACCCAGTAAGTAGCAAGCCTAACCTCGATCGAGTAGTGACGAGGTCAGGTCAGGGCCCTACTGGTATATAATAAATAAGGTAGAAGAATATAGTAATGTAATAAGAGATTGGAAATTTAACAAAGAGAAAACCATAGAAAAAACAACAGCACAACACACAAGGATAAACAGCAGGGGCGCTCTCGAGATATCGTCTCGTAGTTCCAAAAGTAAATGCTCAACAGGGGATCTCCCGAGGTACCATATCGTAGTCGCAAAAGTAAATATACAAGAAGATCTCCCGAGGTACCTCCTCGTAGAATGTGCAGGGCGATCTCCCGAGGTACCGCCTCGTAGCCCTAAAAGTAAATGTGCAGGGGGATCTCCCGAGGTACCAGCTCGTAGTCCCAAAAGTAAACACACAGCTCGAAACATATGAATACAATAATGTACAACAAGAATTCTACAATTACGACTGATACAGGTCAAGGAAAAAAAAATCAACTACGCATGTTGCACAAATTTCAAAAAAGCATTTAAGACACGTAAACATGCGATATTAGGCTAAACAGGATAACTAGACATGCTAGTATAACTCAATTAAGATGAACAGGTTACTACTCAGTAAAAACTGGATTTTACAATAATTAGCCTGTGTACGCACTCGTCACCTCGTGTACACAGCGCTTACATATCACAGAAGTATCAAAACAGTACCAAATTCTAAGGAAATTTCCCCCACACAAGGTTAGGCAAGACACTTACCTCGAACCAAGTTCAATCAATCAGTAAGAATGCCTTTTCCACGATTTTCCGACTCCGAATGGCCCAAATATAGCCAAAAGCAATTACATACCATAAATATAATTATAAGAAACTAATCTAATTAATGAAATCAAGACTTTAACAAGAAATTAGAAAATCGCCCCAAAATGTCAATCCGAGCCCACGTCTCGGAATCGGGTAAAAGTCGAAAAATACGAACACCCAACTCGACCCTCAAATCCTCAAATCAAACTATCCAAATCCCTAGCCTCAAACTCCCAAATTCCACCTTAAAGACACACAAACTAGATGGGGAAAATCAATGGGGAAACAGGATTATTGATCAAAAATAAGCACAAGGAAATTACCTCTAGAAATCCCTCGAAAATGCTCTAAAAATCGCCAAGACTCGAGCTCAAAATTTTAAAATGAAGCAAAATCGCGAACCCTTGCATTTAAATGTTTTGTCCAGCACTCCGCTTATGCGGAAACTTAGCCTCATCTACGGTGCCGCAGAAGCGGCAACTTATCCACTTCTGCGGCTCCAACGTTCTCGACCATTTTTGCTTCTGCGGTTCAATGACCGCGTCTGCGAGTGCGCATCTGCACAAACTCGCCCGCTTCTGCGGAAAGGCCTCCCAAACACTCGTCCGCTTCTGCGATCACTCTTCTGTAGAAGTGACTCCACTTCTACGGTATTCACGTCGCATCTGCAACCACTGGCCATTTCCCCAGCCCCTTATTTGTGCCCAATTGCTCGCTTTTTGCGGGCTCGCACATGCGGTCAATATTGCGCATGTGCGATTACACCAGAATTGGTGCCTTCAGCCATTCTCCCAAATCCAAATTTGAACTGTTAACCATCCGGAATCCACCCGAGGCCCTCGGGACCTCAACCAAATATACCAACAAGTCTTAAAACACCATACAAACATAGTCAAGCCCTCAAAACACATCAAACAACAACAAAAACATGAATCACACTCCAATTCAACCTTAATTAACGTTAAAATTTCAAACTTCTACAACTGGTGTCGAAACTTATCAAATCACATCTGATTGACCTCAAATTTTGCACGCAAGTCATATTCGACATTATGAACATAATCTAACTTCCAGAATCAGAATCCGACCCCGATAG